CCGAGCGAATACATCAACATTGACTCTTTGTATTCTCACCATGTAATATAATTCAAATGATATACATCAAGCTAAGGTCTTCCCCTAAGAAAGGGCCTCATTTGTAATCAACTACAAATATTAGTGGATTCATTCAAATTGGGCTATGCCCCATGGTTTTTCCCCTTTATAGGGGTTTTCACATAAAAATATTGGTGTCTTTTTTGAATTTTTCACCCTCTCTTTTTATCTGTGTGTGCGTTGGATCTTTGTACAAAACTAAGACATTAAGCTTTATATTGCTCTACCGCCACGAATACTTCAGGACGCAACAATGATATATATTGTTAAATTTATGTGTTACATGTTATTTTTTAAAATAATTATACTATCAATGATATAATTAAATTACTGGATGAATATAATTAATTTTTATCACTAAGTAAGTTCAACATCTTACTATAAATTAGACTAATATAAAAATGTTAGAGAGATAAAGAAAGAGGAATTATAAATTTTAGATTTCATGTGGGACAACTTTCTTATTACTTTCTGAAGGTTCATTTTAGTATAGTTTTTTTTTTTTTTTTTTTTTAATAAAATTTTTCTATGCTAAAAAGTTATTTTAGAAAATAAATACAAATAAAAAATTTGTCCCAAATGAAGCCTTAGATTTTTTTTTATTGACCGAGAAGTATACAATACATATTTGAACCTTAGGCTTCGTTTGGGACGGCTTTCTTACTGTTTCTTAAAGTATTTTTCTAGTATAAAAATTATAATATTATAACTAAAAAACTGCTTTAAAAAACAGTAAGAAAGCCACCCCAAACGAAATCTTAATCACTCTACTCTCAAGTTCAAGGAGAAACTATCACAACATTCTCTTAAATGGTAAGAGAACCCTCATTTAAATTATATAGATAGGAGCATGTCCTCTAACACTCCTAGATCTTTGCATAATATTCTAGAGAACGTTTTAAAAAAATTACATAAAAAATATCTCACATTTGCATATGTACCATGTATTGATTGAAAATGATAAATTCTTCGTTTTCAGACCTTTAGTTGTAAGGACTAAGGAACCTTGATCAACTCTTCTATGTAGATATTGAATTTGCAATGAAAAATATACATCAATTCAAAGTAGTTAGTAGTGTGTGTAAAAATAGGACACCAGTTGGCTACAGCTAGAACGCTTTAAATGTGAGACTAAGGTTTTGTTTGGGACGATTTTCTTGCTGTTTTTTGAAGAAGCTTTCTAGTGGAAAAATAATAATTTTTGTACTAAAAAGCTGCTTCAAGAAGCAGTAAGAAAGCCGTCCCAAATGAAGCTTTAGCAGTCCCAAACGAAGCCTAAAGCTTCATTTTGCGCAGCTTTCGTACTGCTTTTTAAAATAATTTTTTAAAATAAAAATTTCAAATTCAATAAATTTTTGTTCTAGAAAGTAAGAAGAAATCCGTCCCAAATGAAGCCTAAGGCTTCGTTTGAAACGGCATTTTTATTGGTTTTAAAGCAATTTTTTAGTACAAAATTTTTTATTTTTTATTAAAAATCTGCTCTAAGACACAGTAAGAAATCCGCCCCAAACAAAGCCTAAGGCTTCATTTGAAAATGTTTTCTTACCGTTTCTTAAAGCAGCTTCTTAGCACAAAAACTATTTTTAAAAACAGTAAGAAAGTTGTCAAAAAAAACCTAAGAGTTTTATGAATTCAATAGAAGAGAAGAAAAACAACTTCGTTTAAAAGATCTAAATCAGAAAATCTTGCAATATGAATTGACGATCTTACAAATTTCTCAATTGTCTTGCAGCAATTTGAATCTCTTACAAAAGGTTTGGCCTTGAAAACTTTGCTGACAAGACGTTTGATGAAAAGAGATTTAACTTTTAAGAGAGATCAATTTGATATAGAAATAATTTTTCAAATTTGAGAAAAAAAATTCATCAATATCTTCCCGTAGCAATGTTATATTATTTCGTAAAAAAAAAAAAAAAATAGAAGGGAACTATTAGAACTGTCAAGAAAGTGCAAGAAAATTATTCACAAACTAAACATTTATTTGTCACAATCAAAATATGGAGAAAATACTTTACCGTTCCATCTTTTACAGTAACCGGTTTCATTATTATAGTTGTTATAAAATTGGCCTTCGTTTATGTGCTGCAGCAGCAGTAGCATCAAGCTACAGGTGCTCACGCTTATGCTTCTGGGGACGCAACTGTGAGCTTGTGCATGCTGGGAAATTGAAACAGATCGACATGCACAGAGGACACACCGCACACCTGTGTCGGATGGAAATTGGAGGGACCGGGCTCTCGCATATTGGCTTTGCAAGGGCACATTTCTGCACGTTGAGGCAATGTGATTGTACTTGTGCACGTGAGGAAGCATGAACAAAGAAGAAACGAAAAAGAATTAAGAAAAGTAGCACAGTGGTGGAATCAGAGGTGTTGCCTTCAATTTGGCTCGACCATTTAGTACAAGAAAATAGGTCAATAGTGATTAAAGGTGTCAAAAATTGACCCGACCGAATCAGACTTGAAAAAATTTGAGTTCGGGTCAATTGTTTGTAAAACGGGTCAAATTCGATTTCAATTTTTTGACCCGTTTGAAAAAATGGGTCGGATTTGGGTTGACTCGGAAACACAAAATCTACCTGAATTAACCCGGGTCCGGGTATCGAAGCCCGCACTGTGCCGCAGTCGCATCTCACGTGATTGAGTTCATCTCAACTCTCACGTGGTCAACTGGTCAAGCCTAGCCGCCCCACTCCACACACGCCCAACCGCCCCAACCCACCTGGCGCCTCAGCCTGGCCGCCTTCAGGTCCATGGTGGACCACGCGGCACACTTGATTGGCCGCACGAGGCAACACAGCGCCAGCGCCTCAACCTAGCCACCGTCTACCTCGGATTGGCCACATGAGGCAGCACCTCGACCTGACAGTCGTCTGTCTCGTCGGATTTCGTGTTGGGTCATGTCAACCCGACAAGTCAACGGGTTGGGTCCATGTTGCATTTTCTGACCCGTTTGTATCAGGTTTGGGTCATGTCATATAGCGTCAGGTTAATTTCGAGTTCGACCTGAACACCTATTGACCTTAATTGACACTTCTAATAGTGACCCCTATTTGTTCATATTTTTTATCATCGTACACTTTGCAGGTAAATCGAAGGTCCAAGGGGGCAGTGCCTCGTGGTTGTAAAGATATATATATTTGGAATTTTAATTAATAAATAACATGTATTTACTATTTGCTGGGAGCAACTGCCTAAAGACCATAGTATTTTAAAACTTTTATGGGGGGCAATTACCTAAAAAAATTTGTAATGAAGAGTAAAAAAAAAATTGAATTGGAGAATTTAACTAAAGAATAATATGATTTTTTTTTAGGTGGGGTAATTGCCCCTCGACCTAAAGGGGGTTATGCCCCTTATAGCTTAGAAGTACTAAATAGTGACACATCCAAAAGTAAAAAATAAATAAATAAATAAGAAAGAAAAAAGGTATTAAAATTAAGGGAAACACATTTTGGGTTTAGGGTTGGCCAAAAAGACGCATAAACATGAAGGAATATATTTCTATTATACGTATATTTGTTTTTATATGTAATTTATACATGTATGTCACCCACTATATAGCGATTAGAGACTATTACAAATGGATGCCTTTGATGATATACCCTATTACCTTTGATGCCCCCACTTACTATTGATACGTATACCTGACTAGCATGAACTGCAAAAGATGGCTTCCATGATATAATTAAAAGGGCATTTGAGGCGCCGAAGTTATTATTAAAAGATGAATGATGATCTATTCACTTGTTCTTCTTTTAGAACAGATCATCAAAGATATTAGAATGAAGGGCGTTAGCTTTGATGGCAATGATGGACATCGACGTTGGTGAAGGCTATGGGCTTTATTGGTTATGATTGGTATTGGCTGTTATTCAAATCAACAGTAAGCGTTGGGTTCATTAATGTAAATGACATGCATCAACATTAGTGTTGTTGATAGGCATTGGTGTTGAGGTGCGCATTATCAATAGGGGGGCATCAATCTTATTCACAAAAATGTTTGTATTAATAGGCCTTAATCTTATTTGTATAAATATTCAAATATAAACTTTAAAGTGCTTGCTTTATCTTTATTTGGACTTAATTTTAGACGCTATTGATACCGTTGGATTTGTATCTTTAAGAAGCTCATTCTAACTATAATAATTTTAAAAATTTGTTCAAATGACCTATAAGTTAATTTTGAAATTTTCTAATTTAAAAACTGAGCTCTAATAATTTATAAAGACTTCTTATAACCATAAAGAAGTATAATCATCCAATATGCAGTCCACAAACCATGTGCTTGTGATAATAGTGATTAATGGCTTACATCGTGGGCCCCGGACACTCATCCCATACCAATGATCAAAGAGAAAACACCTAATTTCTTGGTCACTGAATTAACCATTTGACCTAATTTTCCATAGAGCGCGGAAACCCATCTTCTTCTCAAAATGCTCAACCCTCTCATCTCACGATATGAACTAAACCGCATATCGCACCAAACTAAAGACTAAAAATTTTTTTACATATCATTTAATTATTGTATAATTATAAATTTAATATTTATTTATATATTAATATATTTAATATAAAATATGTTTTTATGAATTTATTTTGATATATTAAAATATTATATTAGCAAATATAAAATTAATAATTTTTAAAGAAATAAAATTTGTATTTGATATTTTAATATTAATTTTCTAAAAATCTATATATAAGATATATAAATACATAAAAATGTAAAGGTTTAAATTAAAAAAAAGGAAAAAAAAAAAGGAAATCCCCACAACACAAAATTGAAGGATCACAGGCCATCATAATAGTAAACAAATCTCAAAGCATGATGAACGGCCATACGCCATTCCTCAAGATGACAAATTCCCCGTAGGTGTTGCGACATGGACCCCGATCCACCCCATGCACGAATATAACCAGCCTGTCTCACACCTAATAATAATATTCATTCAACCAAAATTTCTCTCTCCTCCTCCTCCGTCCATAGAAAGAAGAAGACGTTGTCGTTGTTGTTGTTGTTGAAAGCCAGCCATGGGATCTCTCGTCGACAACAACCAAAAGAAAACCTTCTTCCCTTCCAAGCCAATGAAAGACGAGCTCCCAATCTCTCAATCCCCCAACAAAGAAAGCCACCTGATCGGTCTCCGCCGCAGAATCATCTCCTCCTTCTCAGTAAAAATCCAACCTTTATCCTCCTCCGCCGTCAGCTCATGGGCATCGCTTCGCCGCTCGAAGTCGGCGCCGGAGTTGATCGAAGAGTTTGGCGGAGGTTCGGTTCGGAGATGGTGGGAATGGAGCTGGAGCTGGATACTCTCGAAGAAGCCGGGGTTCGCGAGAGATCTGGAGATGAACGAGGAGGAGACGGCGATGCTCGGTTGCGATAACAAAGGGAGCCTTCGCCATCTGTTTCATAGGATTAGATCTGAGCTAAGGAAGCTTGTGCAGGCGAAGACGCTTCCGACGACGCAATGCGGGTTCAGGTATGATTCTTTCAGTTACGCGCAGAATTTTGATGAAGGGAATGCCAGGGGGGAGATGTGAAGGGGAGGATGGGAGGGACGGTTAAGTTGTAATATTCACATTTGTTTGTTGCTCGATGATTTTTTTTTTGGGTAAGATCTATGTCTTGATTATTAAATTGGTGAACTATTGGTGTGGACATGTTTGATATATATATAAAGATGGAGATTTAATTATGGTTAATGGAAAATAAATTGATTGGGGAGACTTATTAAAGTTTTGATTTGGATAAGTTTTAAAAATTTTGAATTTATTTTAAGAAGAGTGTAAATTATAAATAAATAAATTAATATTTTTTATATTACAGTTATTTTAAAATGAATTTTAAAAACATTTAAATTTATAATAATTAAATTTGAATTAGATCTCTGATCTAATTTTTCTTCGATTAATTACGGAGTATTTGAAGCAGATCTTCCAAGCTTGCAGAGGTGAGCATTATATTGCTGTGGCTTTTTTATGATGGCTTAATATTTATTTTATAGTTGTTGTTTCTTTTAAATATATTTTTAATGAATGCAAAGAAAATTTAATTAATAATCTATAAGTTTAATTAATTAATTAATTTGATTTTTAATATACTTGATGTAATCTAAGTTGGTCCTCCTAGAGAAAAATAAAGATATAATTAATGCAAATATAATTTAGTTTAATAGGATTCCAATTTTGAGCTTAACCAGACTAGCTAGCTAAAAAGATATATTAGAACCAATCTTGGTTGGACTCTGATTTAAAGAGTAATAATATAAAATGCCCTAAAATATTAGATTTCAAATATTTTTAAACAAAATAATAAAAATTAAATATTTTCATAATTTTACTTCCAAATTATCATATTTTCTTAAATTTTATTGTAATAATTTTTTAGATTAATATTATTACATGCTAGAAAATTTATGTTAGTAGAGTTAGTATTTAATATCTTAGTTTTTGAAAAAAATTTAGTACGCAAAAAAAAAATATTGGAGACAAAATATTTAACTTTAAAAACACAAGATGAAGAAAAAAATATATGGATACATGAATCATACATTCTGCATAATTAAAGAAGATGAGAGTACATGTACTAGAATTGTCCAGTATCTTTTGTAGGGATTATAGAATTTGGTGTCCATAGATAGACAGTTCAAACCCAACAATAGGTTTAAATGTTGACAAAAGTCTAACAATGGTGGTGGTGGTTATTGGTCACGGTCATTGACAGTGATAACCGGGAAATACGAGAGAATTCCCTAATTTTCTTAGCTCTTCGAACTCCCTCTTTTGTAGAGAAATAGGTCATATTTATATACTTTTTGAGATGGACATTTTTTTTTTTAAATTTGGTCAGAATTCGAAGGACTATATCATACTGTCAATATTAATCCCCCTTTATCATAGATTACTTATTAAACATTTAAATATTTTAAATATATCAAAATCAAATAATCTTTAGCTTGTTAGATTTTCCTTATCGAGCCACTCGATTTGACTATAAGCATGCTATAATTATAGGTAATTTGATCAATCAATTTATATTCAAAAGCTTTCAACATAATTCAAATGCCTTATTTGAGCTCATTGGAGTCAAATTGGATCATTTGTAGCGTCAATAGGTTCATCTTGTCTGCTCGTTCAATTGGACTATAAGTTTACTAAATCGAAGTTCGGATAATGCTGAATTTAATATGAGATCTCACTTCAAATATTACCTTGAAATTCACGTCAATCATGAAATTTTGTTAAGTCGTGTCGTTTTTTACCATTCTCAATAAATGAGTAAGCTCAAGAGCAAATTTAAATTCATAGAACTACGGTCAAACTTGAATACAAATTTATTTAATTAATCAAATTAAAACTTAAACCAATATTACCATGAGAATTGAGATCAACATAACCCACGGGTAATAAGATGGAATATCATAGAAAGCATAAGTTACATTTGACACATACATCAATTTTAACACATTTTAATTAGTTAGCAATACAATTCATAATTCTATAACAATAAATAATATTTTTATTTTCTTAAATAACTTAGGAGTATTGGTCATGTGAAAAAAGTACAGTTAATGCTTATTTAGTATATAATATTAATGATGTGTGCGTAAATTTTTCTTAGTTAACCTAAATGTCTAAAACAAAGGAAAATGTTAAATTTAAATTAAACTTGTATTTGGAGTGCCATATATTTCTCCACGCAGCTAAGGATCAACTTGTTGAAAAATTATTCTGTGCAAACGCCAGATATTGCTCTACGTCTGGATACCATGGTACCAGGCAATACTGAGCCTCGATACAATAAAAGAGTTATGTGGTGTATTTTTATTGATCTTCGAACAACGTTCAATATCCACACAGAATAACTTTTTCAACTCAATTTGTTTGATCGGAAGTGTTGAAAACTATTGAATCTTTAAAAAAAAAAAAATAGTCGATATATTTATTTGATTGACATTGAATCATTTGCTTTTTTATTTTCAATACTCATCGAGTTAATATGACCTGAAGAAAAAAATTAAACCCTAAACAAAAATATATATAAAATTTAAAATTTTATCATAATATATTTTAACATTTTTTTCCATAAAAAAATTCATAAAATTTGAATTCTATAAAATCAACAATAACTTTAAAATTTGCTTTAATGCATTTATTTTTGGTATTGAATGGCAAACATAACTTCGTTCTAAGGTAAAGGGAAAAGTGTTTGCGGTTTTGTGGGAAGAAATTGTACTGTGACAACCGACCACAGTGTGCGGATAATCTGTGAACGTCCAAAGAGACAAAAATTAAAAAGAAAAAAGAAAAATTTTAAGTGAAAACGCCGAACCGCCCCAAACACCCAATTGCTTTCTTCGGCTCAGCGCTAATTACCATCGGCCAGGTGGCGAGAAATAAATGCGACCGAATTTGGCGTGTCGGTTTGGAGCAGCGATATGCATTATTTGATTAAAATCGAGTCAATTTTATTTATTTGATTTAATCTAATTTTAAAATATCTATTTAATTATTTGTATTTACTAAATGTTGTTTTTATTGAATTAGTTTACTTTATTTAAATATTAAAATAATAAAGTATGTTAATTATAACATAAGAGTAACTATCAATATAAAGTATTATTTTAAAACTTTTGAGTGAAATTAAAACCTATTTTTCCTGTATATGAAAATGACCCAAATCACTTAATTTTCAAATCCCACACTAAGTTTGTCTAAAATTTTCATTATCGCCGCCACTCGTCATCACCCACCGACGCCACAAGTAGCACCGTTCACCTCATATAATCATTAAGGTTTGAGATAGTTTCTTCTTAAAGCAATTTTTTAGTTAAAATTTTTAATTTTTTACAGAAAATTGTTTTAAGATGCTGAAAGAAAACAGTCCCAAATGAAGCTTAAATCTCAAATGATAAAACAAAATTTAAATTTAATTTAATTTTTTACATTACTAAATACACAATAAGCTATAAATTGTTCACGACCAAAATAAATAAACTGATTTTACTATTTATTTTTTTGAAGCAGCTTGTTAGATTTTGTAAATATATAATTTTTTATCAGAGTGTCGGCAACTTTTCTAAATTTTATTTTAGAAAAAAAATTCTTGAAAAATAATGCTTCTAATTCTATGAAAAGCCAGATATTTTTGGTTAGTACCTCATTTAATGTTACAAGCTATCAGTTGAGCAAATCATGTAAGATGACGCGACAAAGGTAGAAAAACCCCACATAGATTGAAAAACCAAATCAAATCAAAAGAATTGAGTTCATTTATGTTTTGATTTGTATAGTTACATAAATAAGTTAGGTCTTCAACCGAAAAATTTATTTTTCACATCAAAATAGAATAACAGTCATATCAAACAGTAATTCATATCAAAAGAACTCCACTCCAATCCTGACACAAAAAAAAAAGATATTATGTGTATATTATTTATGAGGTATATTTTAAAATTTATTTTCAATCAAAATGAATGAATGCTAGTGTGAAGCCAATATATGTGTCACACTGTTTACAAACGAAATAGAATGCAAAAATGTATTTCTATTCGCCGTTCGGGTGGACGCTCGTTGGAGCTGAAAACATACTAACGACGTTCAATTAGAGATGATTATTGATTTGAGATTTGAGATTTTAACAAATCCAAAAGAAATAACATAACCAAATATGTTAGTGTTGATTCGCTCGTTTTGATTCCAAAGCGATCATTCTTTGTAGATGAATAATATTTGAAAACTAATAATTAAAATCTAATGAACAAATTAGAGACCGATCTGTGCAATTTAAGTTTTTGCGGGCTAGAATAAACGTGATGATAGAGTTGTAATTTTACGTCTTTGCGTTGCACTGATATCCTTCTCACACACAGAGAACACAATATTTTTTACGTGGAAAATCCTGGAAAGTGGAAAAACAACAGGGCCTAGCCCAGTTGAAAAGATTTCACTAGAATTTGAGTTGAGTACATTAGGTTGACTCATCCCAGAGGGTGATTATATTACAAATGTCAACTGTATGGTTGAAATCTAGTGTTAAATCTGACGTCACTTGGAAGTTTGGGCGTCAGTTAGTAGTCCAACAGTGACTTGGCAAAATTATGGCGTCTTGATGGTCTGGCAGAGTTTAGGGCCTCAAGTATTAGTTTGATGAAGTTCGGGCCCTTAGGTGGTGTTCTAGCAAAGGTGAGGGCCGCAGGTGGTGGTTTAACGAAGGCGAGGCCCTCAGGTGGTGGTCCGGCGAAGGCGAGGGCCTCATGTGGTGGTCCGACGAAATTCTGGCGGTGGTCCGACGAAACTCCGGCGGTGGTCGAGGAGGAGCTTCTTCCTTCTCTTCTTCTCTTCTTATTTTGGATCCCTTTTCAAGAGAAATGAGGGGTCTATTTATAGATTTCTGAAGTGGCATGACCAGTAATTAGGTGAGAGATCAAGGATAAATGGGGATTGGTTGGATAGACGGCCGATATTGAATCCCCTAATCTTGGACCGTTTGATGGACATTTGAATATCTTAGTGATATTGGAATTCTGTGATCTTGGGCTCATTGGATTTGTCTCATCGAGCTGCTCGATTCGACTATAAGAATGTTATGTTTGAAAACCGTTTGGTAATCCAAATTGTGGTTCGAACCTTCCAACAACACTTCTAACCCTTTCATTTTTGTAATCATCGTTCTTTTTTTATAGAATGGGCTAAG